TAGGTAAGAATGGGCTTCCAAATGCTTAGAGCCAGAATGTGTAGCAGCAGCACTTCTTGCCTTACACATGAGCTAGCAGTTTGGTGGCTGCTGGTAACACTGGGCCCTTGAGTCAAATGAAAGGGCCAGTGAATTGGTTCCATATTCTTTATTCTGTCACAAGTCCCACTTATTAAGGGCTCTTACAATATCTGGCACTATTTTAGGCATTTTGTGATGGCCCTACATCTGAGTCTCATGTAGCAATTCAAAGAGCTATTCAATCCCTCGTTACAGCCAAACCCCTTGCCAGCAAGCCATGTCTTGACTACATTATGTACTTATTGGCAGACGGAGTTCAGGAATTTCTGTGAAATTGTGAAGGCAAAAGCACAGGAGACCCAGGAGGGCAGAGCTAAGGGAGAAAAACAGATAAATATGTCTCGAGGGCAACAGAAAACAGAGGTAAGGCTAAAACAAGTTTTTAAAAATCTACAAATTTAGAGATTCGGTATTTATAAAAGAATCAAAGTTTCTCATTAATAAAGAGTTTTGGGGTATTTTTTTTAAAAGAGCAACAAAAACCCTCCCCCCAAACAACAACAACAAAAAAAGCACGTAACTTCACTGTAAATTCAGTCTAAACTGTTGTAAGCATTTCTAAACAATTTGTGTTTTTGTTAGCTTCCCAGGCAGATACCTTAGTCTACCGGTCACATTCACTTAATCTTGTATTGATTTTCTAAGAAACTCCCTGTTTCTATGACTACCCTAATCAATTAACTTCTTGTAAGTAACAAGACAATTTTCCCTTTTTCTTTTCTGACAAATGAAGGCTAAATACTTTCTTCCTTTTTCTTTTTGCCACCCTGAATACTTTCTTTCCACACAAAAAAAATCTGATGTTATGCCTTACCTATCAAAGAAATACATTTTGTTGGTAAAAATGGTTGCTGTCTTTTATATTTGAAAACATTTGAAGATTTTTGCACAGAGAAAGCATACAAACTTGCCTTGGACCAGTATTATGAATGGTTTATCACTTTGTTGTTATATTAATAAAAGTTATCTTTGGTTATCAGCAGGTGTCTTCCTCTTGGCCTCCATGCTTTATCCTGGAGAACTGGGAGGCTGATAGTCACTTAAGGAGATGGCTCACTAGAAAAAGAAAATGGTTCTGCCACATGGTGTCAAAAAGGTCCATAGCCACAGGCAGCCATTTGTGACTTCTTTAGTTGGAATTGCACTGTCCATTACAATAAATAAATTTAACATATATTAATATGTGAGAATTTGAGTATTGGTGGAAGAAGTCACTTTGATCTCAGCCTACCTACTGTTTCTTAGACACAGGCCTGGAAACAATAGAAACACAATTCATCAAAGACATTGGCCTTTGGAGTCAGACAACCAAAACTCAAGCCTTGAGGTCAGCTGAGAAAATTTGATTAAGCATCTTAGACTCCTTCAAGTTTCATTTCCTATCTTATAAAATGAAACTAGTATAATTATTTCAAAGCTAGTATGGGGTTCTCCAGATCTAACTTCTCCGTCCTTTGATCTAATAGATCTTTCCAAAGCAGAGAAGTGATTAGGACACTTTTCTGTCCCAAGCCTCCCTATACTTGGAAAGCGCAAGCCACACCATAAAGCATGCAGTCTTTTATGCCATAGAGCCAGATTTCAGCCTGCCTTTCCAGGTTCACCTCTGGTTATTTTCCAATTCACTTCTCATTCTAGCCATGTCAAAACAGATTCATCCTGTACTTTCAGCCCCCTATAGCTGCCTGATTATTTAGAGTACTTCCCCAGTGTTGCTCTGATCAGTATGCCCTTGCTGTTTTTGTCCACTTTTTGCTCAACTCTCAAAGCCAAGGATATCTCCATAATCCCCACCTTTCCAGCTATGCCTGGAGGTTTTTCCAAAAGAAACAAAGATTAAATTTCACCAGGTGAAACATCTCATTTTTTGCTTCTACCATGAAAATGTATTTTATTTGCCATCTAACATAAAAATATCTAGATACTATTTAACTACAGAAAAATTATAGATAAGACTACAGTCTGTGTATCTATAGTCTGAGCACCAAAAGAATACTATGATAATATTGAGATTCCCAAAGCCCATCAACTTGAATTCATCATGGTTTATGTAGTCACTGACTTGTGAGAAAGGCAGTGCATATCCAGAAAAATATGTCACCTGAAAAAATGAGCTGACCCAGATCAATTATTTCAGTCATTGCTATTACCTGCTAGGTACAAGATGTATCATTTCCAATATGATAAAACTTGAAAATTGGTATAAATGAGTAGACCAAGATTCAAACAAGTGCCCAAGTACTTGATGCGTGGCAGGGTTGCCATCCACATCCTGGTCTGTCTGCCTCTAGACCATTTTCTGTTCTACCCTTCCACATTGTCTCTTAATTCATCTCATAATATATTTACGTATGGACTTATAATAGTGGTTCTTGTATCTTTATACAAGGTATTGGGTGCTATCTCTAGCCAGGTCACTTTAAATACTCTTTTGCTTAAGAAAAAAGCAGGTTCATGATTTGGATTGATAGGTCATAGCCAACGCAAGAGGAAGAGAGACAAGGAGGCTTCAAAACAGAGTTACATCCCATTTATAATGCACATAGTTGTCTCTCTAGCTGTCAGACTGGTAGCCTTTCTTATTTTTAGTTCAATTCCCTATAGTATTTTGTATGTTTGCCTAAATAAAAGTGACATGATAGCAGAATTATGGCATACGTTCTAAATGACATATTTAAAATCTTCTCATTTCTTCGTTTTCCTGACTAGGTTAACTAGAAGGGCTTTACTACTGTTGTGGAGCTGGTGATCTTGGTATGGTGGTGGCTGTGTTGAGCAACCTAAAACTGTGGGTGTATCTTTACTTCAAACATTTTGTGGTCATATATTGATCTTGAAAAAATGTTTATATATTCTGAATGAAACATATAGTGGTACACAATATTTCTCACATAGTAAATGCAAAGTAAAATAGAAACGATTTAAAAAGTCAGAAAGTGTTACTTCACTATGAGACTAAATATGAGATCAAGAATGTCACAGCAGAACATTTCTAGCAATTCTGTATTCTTATTAAAATTTACCATTGTTTTTAGATACACATATGTAGACACAGATGTAGATATAGACACAGACATAGGTATAGATGTAACTATATGGCATTAAAAGTCAATTTCAACTGAAAACAAAAATGAGTTTAAAGATTAGCAACACATCAAATTTATTCACAGGAAGACCTTTCTTCTTGTAAGTGGCTTCTTAATTAAGAATCAGGAAAAATCAATCCTGCTTACTCTGTCTTGTGTTCTGAGAAAAAGGAGAAAGAGACTGAGGCATTTGTGGGGAACAGAGAGAAGGCAGCTCCAAATGTGCAGCCAGCACAGGCCCATGCAGGGATGGGGATTATTTTCTTCTCTAGACATATGCACAGAGGTTTAATCTAACTGTAGTTCCTGTGGTGTTTACATGTGGCACTTTAAAAACTTCTGATAGTGGTTATGGCTAACAAGGAAGCTCCCAAACATCTCCAAGTTGTCAGTTTGTTCTCCTGCAATGACTTATCACATTATTATTAAATAACTCCATAAAGTAGGCTGGAAAACAGCAAGATACTGAGTCTATTCTTTAAGTTTTTTTTTTTTTTTTAATTTCTTGGGAAAAAATATGAGCTCTCCAGTCCTTCATGGAACTGAAGGCCTACCCTAGCCCTAGTGCAAAGAGAAGACACAGGTTAAATAGGGATAACAATTATAAAAGGCTAGGTTACTATTCTGTGTTAGGTAACACAGTGGGTGGTAACCAATCTTGTTCACAAACTGAAGAACATCATATACATTGCTGGAAATAGGGCAGAGTTAGGACTGATTCTATATGACATGTACATTTGCAAACGTGCATTATCTTGTGCTCTCTACCATTCTGTATTAAATGTTCCTGCGGAGTTTTCAAAAAACGTTTAGGATAAGACAGGAGCAAGGCTGACTCACCAAGAGCAAGTCAGGAAGCCTGTATCAGGAAAAACCTATATGAAGAAGAAACATCAGTGTTTCTTATTCAGTCCAGAGGCAGAAATCAAAGATTTCCAGCACCTGGAAAAGTGGCCCATTTTTAGAAGGTCAATTCTCATCAATTTAGGTGTGTATAGATGCAGTCAGAAATTACTAATGAGTAAAGATCTAGATGACTTGTGCTTATTCAACATTAATGCACTGGTCTAATGAATGATGTTACTCAAGGATTAATTTGCAAATATTTTTTACAAGTTTAAAATCGATTCCATAAGTATTATATGCAAAGTAACATAAAGCAAAGAGAGAGAATAGAAGGACATCCTGGAAGTTAAAAACAACTTGATAAAAGCAGATTTATGACAGACCACTAAATAATAATATATTTCTCATCTTCTAATTCCTAAGTAGTTAAATATTATTCACTGGAAGAAGCACTATTCCTATATAAATTCCATGTGACAGCCCCTCCCACTCACAGAAAAAAAACTCATGAAGTCTAAAGAAAATTTCAGAAAGATGGTCTTTGTATCTTAGAGACCAAAAAACATATTGATTGACTGTCCAACAGCTGAACATATTGCTGATCAGAATCCCAAATTCACCAGGTTAAATGAAATAATGAAGCAAATATTTAGCTAATTAATATACACAGAAAAAAAAAGCCTAAATAGCTAATCATTACAATCTAAAAAATGCTGCTTGTTCTAATTTTCAAGATTAAAAAATCTCAGTTTATTACTCGTGTTTATGTTTAGACAGTGAGCATTGTACCAGTATCACAAACTCTCATCCTTCAGTGTTTCTTCTATAATCCTTTGTTCAGTTAGTATTTTAATGTTTGTGCTCAACAACCACAATTTTTTTGTTGTTTTTGTTATTCTGTAAGTAAGACATCTTGTCATTCTAACATATTAGACAAGAGAAGTCAAACACAAGAGACCAAGGAAGTAGGTAATTTGCATATCCTACCTGTAGGCCTTCAATAGCTAATCGCAGCATACTTGGTGTGAGTTTAGAGGCTTGCTTGAAAGTGAAGTTACTCCAGTCTATGATCAAAACAAACCCATTCACTTGAAGCTCAGGATCTTCAATCATGGCTTCTAAAGAAAGTAAGATGGCACGCAATATATCCACCAGTGTGTACCTATCCGCAACAGAAAAGTACTAAATTAGGTCTGACAACCACTTTTATAAGAAACTATAAAACATTTTCTAGCACACTAAAAATTCACTCTAAAATACCTTCAGAATCTTAAGGAAATAATTTTGTTTAAAAAAGTATTTTAGGCACAGGTTTAATTTATATGTACTCGAGGAGCATAATCAATTTAACATGTATTCTGCCCAAACAAATGGCAATGCTTTCTCACATTTTAGAATCATTTAATTTACCTCTAGGCCTTCTTATGATTTTCTGAAATTACCTCTAGGCCTTCTTATGATTTTCTGAAATCTCATTCAACAAACCCAAAACTAGGCATCACACTTTTTGAGTGGTTCAATAATGCCCCAGTAATACTGACATTTCATATCTTCATATTTGAAAAAATTAAGAATGAGATTTGAGGGAGTATCATCAATAAATGAGAACACTGTACATGACAGCTATGGATAAAAGTTACTCAATTCAAATTAATCGTATTGAGTTTGTATCACAAAGAAAAGGAAAGGTGGAAGGGATAGAAAGAAAGGGAGATGAATATAATTAAAAGCGGGAAAAGTCATGGAAATTTACCTACTATAATACAAGCCATCCAAATTCGAGGGTTGGATTTTTTGTTCTGTTTTGTTTTCTGTTTTCACCTTAGTACAGTTACTGGAACATTCCAGTAACACAATAAATGCTCTTTATATTCCTGTAAAAGGGACTTGACTATAGTAGAAAGACACTGGTTGGAGATTAAGACATTGCTTTAATGAAGGGAATGGAACCAATAACAAAAATAAGAAGTCAAATTTGAGTGGCATTTTAGACAATCTTATTATATCATGACAATGTGAGAACTGAGATTAGGGAAGAGTAAGTCACACAAGTATTTTAGCTTTGGAGCCTGATACACAGAAAATTTTTAATCAGTGTCAATACTGCAAAAAGAGGACTGTTGGAAATGGTTGAAAATACAAGTTTTGAATAGAACTTACTGTATTTGAGAAACATATAGTATACCCAGAGAGATATATCAAGCAAGCTTCTGAAAAACATGGATCCTAAACTCAGGAGAGAGCTTAAAACTGAAAATTTTGGAATCAAAAGCATATAGAACCTAAGTTCAAGGAAGCGAAGGAGGTCATGCAGTCAAAGCAGAGACAAATATCAGATAATTATTCTATAAAGGGAATTCATAGAAACACCAGTACTTTAAGAGGAGTCAGAAAATGTATGGAAGAAATTTATGAAGTTAGCAATTTCAATGCATTTTAAGTTTTTTCCCGAGACATTCAGGGAAGATTTCAGGAATATCTAGAGAAAAACATCTGGACCTCAGGGAAGAGGTAGGATGGGGAGGAGAGTGGATTAGAAGTGGAAATCTTTCCTATTTAGTGGAAATGATGGGCTCATTAGGAAGATAGTATTATACAGTGAAGATATACAAGGGAGTAGGTCTATTTTTTACTTCTAAAACCACATAGAGGTGCTAGGAGAAAGCATAGTAGTTCAGAAAGGAAAGAATAATTAACATTAGAACTTTGGGCAATTTCTCATCATTTCAGGACCTAATTTCTTCATTTGTAAAATCAGCAGTTTGGAAGATAATCTTGTTTAGAACCCTAGCATTAATCAAGCACAGGGCATGGTGTCAGAAGACTTCAAGATGCAATCTCTGCCCTGTGCCTCATTACCCATATGATCTTAGATATGTCACTGATTTATAATTCTGAGGATCAGTTAACTATCCCTATCTCCGGCTATTCTCACTATCTTACTAGCTGTGGTTGAGGGAGGGTTGGGGCCAGCACCAGAGAGTCATCAAAGAGATGACTCAGGTGAAAATATTTGTACAACTTTGCACAATACTAGTTATAAGCAGGTGTTCAGTAAATGTTGGTTGGAATACACATGTAGCATACTTTTTGTTACAATGATATCCATATAGTGTACTAGGCAGAGTACAAATCAGAAATGATCATCTTTAGTATAGCCTATTAGTATTTAAAAAGGCAACAGCCAAAAGGCCTTGGGATACAGCATCCAAGAAACTACCTGAATATATAAAATAATAAAACTTTTTATAGAGCTCTACTATGTACTTGTTATTAAATCTCTGAAACATATGTGGCTGAACACCTTTAAAAGTCACTTTATGGCTGGCCTGCCTCCATTTTAAACATAATGGCCTGACACACTGTTAGATACTGAAACCTATAAACACACGCACTGGAAAGTTGAAACACGAAGATTGTGTTTCTGGTTGAAATTCAGACCCTCACCAAAAAAAAAAAAAAAAAAGTTTTACTTTCTGAAATTCATAATAATATCGTGGTAAAGAAAATTAAGAATTTGAAAAGTCCAACTTCAAAGGTTTCCCTCATTAAGAGGTTCACCATTCTTATGTTATCCATAAGAAATCAAATAGCATTAATACCAAAATGCCATTAAATAAAATTTGAATTGGAAATCAGCTTTGGAAGGATGAGACATTGTACATAGTAGTAAAGATTAATCAAAGTACCAGTAAGGACTGAAAACAAGAGGGAAGGTGTTTTAAATAACACACCTGAAGTATGGTTCCCCTAAAGTATTTCAAAATCAACATAAATGTTTATACATATTACACTCTTAACTCCAGTCCTCTGTTGACAAACATGTCACATTATTATCATTAACAGCTCAGCAGCCTATTCCTCAGCAGAACAGGACTACACAGGATCTTGCCAAAATCTGTAAAATATCTTCCAAAGAAATGAAGCATCTATTAATTTTATCTCTTCAGGACTCCTGCCATACTCTCCTTTTTAAAATTATTTTAACTGTTATACAAATTAGAGGTCACTACAATGAAATATTCTGTATGGTCATGCTTAGGATTTACATTGAAATTGTGTGAGTTCCACCATTCCTATTATTCTCTGTATGCTGAAAGAAAGCCATAAATCAAAACTATCACATTATTTTAGCTCTTGACTCCTGATTGTACTTCCCAAAATAGCATTAAGTAAAATTTGAATTTGTGAAAAGAATGCTGTGTAGCATGTAGTAAGAAGAAATCATGACACAGATAAGAAATTTTACAACTGACACCAGATTATGTAGACCACTGCTCTTGAAAAGAATCAAAGCTGCTAAACACACAGACAACATACGGGGAAGACTTTGATACCCACAGCAACTATGTACTACCTGCGCAACCAGAAGGAAAACATCTAATCCCTCTTGAAATTTCTCAGTTATGAAATCAGTCTTCCTTGCAGAGTAGATATATATTCATGAAGTAATTATTTGGGCACATTTTTGTAACTTACAAGTCTTTTTAACATAAAACTCACAGGTATTAACAAATACAAAAAAAAATGGGGATCTTTGATTATTCTTCTAATCTTAGTTTGTTCTCAAACACCTTAAAGTTACTGAATTTTGCTAAGCCTCCATTTTCTCTCATAAAAATGGTGATACTAATAGTTACCTCATAGAACAGAATGTAAAATAGCCCAATGGGCATCACCCAGCAAACAGTAAATGTTAACTACTATGACTGCTGCAATTGTATGGCTTTTGCTCTTTCAACAATCACATATTCTATACTTGCTTTTTGTATTTTTTAACCACTTACTCTTAACTTCATAGAATTGTTGTGAGGACAAAAATGAAACAAAATAATATATGTAAAGTTTTTAACAGTCCTTGACATATAATAGAAATGATAAATATTTGCTGTGATCTTGCTGTTGAAACTCTTCTATTTGGTTCTGTAATGCTACATTGAACTTTTTCTCCTTCCACTTTTCTGGTCACTCTTTTATCTTTCATCTTTGGTTCCCTGCTGCAATCATCCAAATGTAGAAATAAGACTTTGTTCCCCTGTCATCATCATATAGCAGCTCCTAGAGTTACCGAATCATGCACTCATCCCCTTGGCCAACACATTGGTGATGGCTCGACATTCCCAGAGCTAGTGTCAGTCCTGTGCAACATCCTCATCTCTCTAGTTCCCATCTGAACATCAGCACCTTAGTGACTCATTGCTACCTGAAATATGTTAGTGTAACTCAATGTAGTGCCTCCTGTTTTCTTCTGGGATTGCCTACATAAATCAATTAACAAAGAATCATTCTCAAATATTCCCTTTATTTCTCACTTTACATTTATTCACCAAGTCCTAAATATTTTTCTGGCCTTTTATATTTATACATTTTTGGCATCTAACTCTTTCTACTAGAGTCTTAGCTTTATTTCCTAATACAATAGTACTTGTGTGTCTTTTTCTTTCTTTCTCATCTTTCTCTTCCAGAAATCATGCCTACCCTCTATTGTGAGATTAATTGTCCTAAAACATTAATTGGCCTGAAAAATTGTCCTACACACGCTACTTCCCCATGGCTCTTTCAAAACTGCACCATTCCCTTAATAACCATACTTCTTATTTTGTACACCCATGCACAGGCTCATTCCAGCCATCAAGATCTTGTCATATCCAAGCCCCAACAAACTGGTACACTCAGATGCTTTATCCTCATTTAAATCCATAGAGAATACCCCCCTTCCTGTTCACCTCACCTAAGTTTTACCCTTCTTCGGGCCCACCACCAGCTTGCCCTGCTCTGCAAAATTATCTTTACCTGCTGGATACCTCAGTGTCCTCTCTCTCTCCTAATCTGAAATACTAGTGCTTGAGTGTTTCTTCTATAGCCCCAGACATATAAGCTTAGCTTCAAACTCTTTCACTGTTTGATACCACTTTCTATCTTCGGCACCAAATACTGTGCCCTGCACACTACAGGTACACAATCATATATGTTAAAATCAAATTATTTCCCAAGGACATAGAACATGCTGCTTTATTTTACCTACAACAGTCATTGAGTGCCACAATGGCATCATTTTAAAATTATAACATTCACTTAAGGCTTCTCTGACAGCCCAAAGGGCAGTACAAAACATATTCCTGGACCAGAAAGAGGACAAGAGCCTTGTCCTACCACACCGTG